AGGGCGCAGCGGGGCGGCTCCGGTGGCTGGGGAGGCGACGACCCGCGGCGGGACGGCTCCCGCGGCGGGGGCGTGCTCCCGTGGCTGGGGAGGCGGCAACCCGCGGCGGGGGCGGGCTCCCGCGGCTGGGGAGGCGGCGAACGGCGCGGCGGGGGCGGGCTCCCGGCGACCTGCGGCGGCTTCCCGTGGCTCCGGCGGCGCGAGGCGGCGGTGAAGGGCGCGGCTTCCCGTGGCTCGGCGCGAGGCTGCGGGAGGCGAACGACGCGGGAGGAGGAGGAGGTCGTGCGGGAGGAGAAGGTGGAGGTCGTGCGGGCGATCGGTTTTGTTAATGCGGGGCGATTAGCGATCGATCGTGCCTTGTTGCGTGATTGGTAGCGTTAAACACAGAATGATTAAGGGCCATTAGATTTTAATGATGGATGGGTGGGATTGTTTGGATCTGTCTCTCTCTCTTTCTTTTATAATGGTAGTAGATAAAATCTGTTGCAAAGTAGTATGTGAGATGTTGAGTCTATTGAGTATAAAAGGTGTCATCGCTATCGAGTAGCGAGTACCAAAGTTGAGATGACTCGACATGACATGGCTGGTAGAGGAATTTGTTCTTAGCAACGCACAAGTGTTGAGCCTGTGTGATCTATATGTGCAAATTCAGCTATTACGTTTGGGAAATGTTTAAAAGCTGACTTAAGATTTTTTTTAACATTTCCCGACGAACACCTAGAATTGCCAAAAGAAGATAAAATTTTCATGTTGTCTGTAAGAGATTTTCCATGCTCTAAAGCGAAAATTGCCAGTATAGTGCAAAAAATGGTAGAAAAATTGCCACGATGCGCAGAGTTAGTGACATGCGTTCAGTCGGGATCTAACGGTCCTAACTCCTAAGGCGTTCGCTGGGTTCTTAAAAAAATCTGACATTTATTGGTTACCAAAGTTCTTACATTTTGGTATATCTTGTTTCACGTTTCCCTATATTTTGTTTAAAAACAACAACGATTACACCATAGACGCACACATTCACACAACACCTACCGAAAACAGAATCGAAGCTGTAGGGCTTTAAGACAACCGTCTCACACTGAAAGAATAACCTACACTTCTACATTTAAAGCTCTGAAGAATTTGCGAACTGAGTCTGTCTTAGATGGTTAAGTTCTGAAGATTTGACACAGGTGCTCGTATTTTTATGGATTCATTTCAGGCTTTGCGACGATATTTGTTTAGTGGAAGAAGACGTTCACATCGAGTGCGGTTCAAAAATTCCAATGAACTTTGTTATGCAGTTGCCAAAAAAATATCCAAGTTATCCACGTGTCGATAAGCACGACGAAATCCGGCTCGTGCGCGCATGAGCGGCGGCCGGCGGGCGAGCGCGCGTGTGGCCGGAGGAAAATCCCATCCAGGAGGCGGAAGCGGAGCCGCACCACCCGTTCCGTTATTCTCTCACCCACGAACGAACCGAACCGACCTCATTATTGCCCCGCGGCCCCCAGCCCAGCCCCCACCTCCCTTCGCCCCGGCCCGGAACTCGCTCCCCCGCCTCCCTCCGTCGCCCGCGGTCGCTGCTGGCTTCCAACGCACGCGGCATCCGAATCCGCACCGCACCGCACCCGATCCCCCGCGCCACT